TTCGCGACGTGACGTCATGTAAGGGAACTATATTCGAAACGGCACGAGTGTAACGTCAAAAGTTTTGCACGGCGAACTCGCGGCAATAGGTAATTAAGATATTTAGAACTTGCACATGCTCCACATTCAGAACTTCTTTATGAATATTAAATACTTAGCCAAAAATCTCATTATTACTACGAAGCCTTTTAGCGGAAAATCTGTTTAACAAGTACAAGTATAGTAGAAAACTTTGTTTAAAACAGTAAAGACACTTTTCACACAAGTAAATACGATAGGAACACAAAGAAAATGATGGCATACATTACAACGACACGACCGTCGCCTGAACTTTCAACAAAGTGATTTACCTTCAATATAAACTGAACCACTGATTTACAACGACATGGTTCAACAAGACCACCCCTATTATTACCAACAGCCCTTTAAAAGTTCAACAATTGACATTTGCGACGAAGACACTATTATGGGGGCAATTCAAGTTTATTATTGAGCTATCAGCTTGGATGTCAAGATAGTGGATGATTGATTGTTACATATTAATATAAATCAGTAGCAAGGGTTCCGCCGGCGTCGGCCAGTTGTGTCTACAAAAACGGGGTAATAAGGAGGATTGGTGGTCTGTAAGGCGAGATGCTAGTTTGTAAGTAATCTGTTGATCGCGGGTGGAGGCGGGCAGCGGGTAGCGTGTGGCGGCCGCTTTGCGGGGGTTCGTGATTGCTGACATTTATCTTGTGCCTGGCTAATTAGCAGCGTGCGCCACTGAACTGACTCTAACCACAATGGGCTACTTCGCCTTACTGATAATACAGTACGCATGTATTATTACATTTACCCGAATTTAACTACAATAGAAATTGTAATTATTCGTGTATTATATTCTATATTGGACAAAGCGACAACTAAAACAGAAAAGGATTTAGAATTACACAAAATATTCATTAAAATAATAATTTATTTTAATAAATCCAAAATATGTTTGTGTTACTGTATTCAATTTGTAACCAGAAATAAAGTGGTAAAGTTCAATGAATGTATGTAAAACAATATAAATTTTTTGTCCAGCGCGTGTGCTAATGAAGCCCACCGGGCGGATGTACTGCTCGTAAATACTAGTCCGTTTCGTTTTTCCGCTTCCGGGCTAGTGTTGCCATTACTTCAACGTTACATGTCTTATTTAAACTATATGTATAACTGCTTAAATTAGAGTTATGCATATATGTTTAAAAGCCTTATTTATTGGCTATAAAAAGGCCTGCATGTTGTTAGCTTATCGTCTTATCAATATGAAATATAGCCGCCTGGGGTGTAACTTCTTGTATATTTTTTACTACTTAATTCTACATGACGTTTACGAGGTTATTTATAAGTATAACAATACAATATGATTTCTCGAGCATGAAGTTTGATTGGCTTGGCAGCCGATATTTTGAAAGCAGTTCTTAATTGATTCTTAGAGGCAAGATTTTGTTTAATTATATTTTGTTTAATGACATAGCCAGTGTGTGAAATGAGTTCAGCAACGTTATCGAGGTTATCGACAACAACGTGTAAAGCACTATCGACACACGAAGTGATATTTCGATTCTCTAAAAGCAAATTGCAGTAAATTGAGGAATTACCTCCTTGCAATTTCTGCAGAAGTGGTTTGATGGTATCGGAGGTTCCTACGCCGGCCACTGAGTACTGATACCTTAGGGGAGTCTCCCCTTACCAAGCCACTTTACTAATGTCGATTATTAACTGCCTGCTACACTCAGAACAGAGAATTATATTGCGTACTTCTGGAAATTAGTTCGGTACTTAGGGAGCGATTCGCCAAGTATATTTAATTAGATGTCCGTGTTGTTAGGTTGGATTATGTTAAGAGGATTTGTTCGAAGTAAGCTTGGTTTGCTTTTAATAATATTGTTTAAGTGGAATATGATATGTTGCTGATAAGTTATAGCATTATAAATATCTTTCATTAATATACATTTTAGGTACATTAATTCGTGACGCCACTTTTTAAAGGAGCTTGCCATATCGTCTTTACTCTTAGCCGGCGATGTGAAGCACTTAGGTTGCTAAAAAGTAAGAATATGCCCCTGCCTGTTTCGGCTGTTTTAGAATATGCCTTGGTTTATAAGATAAAGAAAATAGGTACTAGGATATAATAGGTAAATAGGTACTATTTTCTAAATAATTTATACATAAATCGTATTTTTATTATTATTATTTTATGTGTAATAAAACATTATTCTATATTTGAAAATATAAGAAGTTTTAACTCAATGTGTAATACAGGGTGTATATTTTTTCAACCCCTTTAGTCGGATCCCTTTGAGAATGGTCTCAGAAGGGATCGTTCCCAATAAACGCTTCGGTTGTCTTCAATATATTTTTTTATTAGTCAAGGAATAAAATCCGTAACCCAATAGTTTAAGGGAAAGGTCTAACGATTTACTGTTATTTAAACGGACTGGATTTTGTCTCAATCCTTTATATAGTTATTGTTATTGTCTAAGTTATCTTTATTTTATTATTCATTTATTAAATATACAGGCAGTTGAAGTCGATAACTTTATTACTTTAGTGTTATTTTATTCGAATAATTATACACGGGAGTGTATGCACGGGATTGTATATAAGAGCTCCAGCGATTTCAATACAATTTTGTACGTAAATTTTTTTGGAAACCAAATATTTAACGATAATGTTTTAATTTTCGAAGAAGAAACCGAGAAATGCCCTGTCATCCAGGAACTTTATTACAATGTAGTAACTACATAACTTTGGAAACTACACATCACATCTCTACATTTAAATGTTGAGCAGAGGCCTTTTCTCACACGGAGAATGTTTGAACATTAATCACCACGCTTGTTAAGCCAGATTGGTAATTTTCAAACTTAAAATAAAAAATATTAAATACGACTAATGATTAGAAATTATAAGTCGAGGTTTCCTCACGATGTTTTCATTCCCCGTTTGTCAGTCGGTGTCGTGTCTGTATTTAGACAGACAGTCAGACAGAAAAAGATATATCTTATACAAGGTCACATTGGTAATTACTTGCGGGGTACTAGGTTTCGAACCAGCACTCTCAAGAAGAAGTGGGCGCCTTAGCCTTTGCTCAGCAGAGGGCACTTATAGGCTGTTGTTGTGCTGTGATGTGATATAATTCTAGAGAAAAACTAAAAAGGTTGAATAGTTCAATGTAAGTACATCATCATATAAAGCCACATCAAAGAAGAATAGGTACTACAGGTAATTTATAGTAATCAACCAAATAATATGCGATTCGTATCATATTAATCCTCTGTAATTACGAACAAGTTGTACGAATATACGAGTACGAACATTGTACGGTTTAATGTTCAAATTACCTATTTGTACATTAAAACATCGAGGATTAATGGAAAAACGGTTTCAACTCGTACATTTTACGTAGTTACATTTAAATTATAGTCATTTGTTCAGTTCTGTTGCGCGAATCCTCTTCTACATTATAATGAGCTTAATTTAAACTATCTCCGTCTTCTTCTAATCACTTTTCGCAAGAAAGAGATAGAAACTTTTTTAGTGTCAAACGAGGTCTAGAATCTAGTTCTCTATTTACGTAATTAGAAAATTTTGGGCTGGTTAAACAGACTAGTACCCACTTATAGACCTCCCTACGTGAAGACATTGCTAGAAAAAGTAATTAGAAAAGTACTAACTTGGAGTTATTTGACATAAAGAACATACTTATTCGCTATCTTTCTCTTGTATTCTGTGTTAGAAAAAGATGTGACTATTAAGTGTTATTTATTGAAATACTTTATTGGTTGAATGGTTGCAAACTAATGCTACTTACCGAGCAAATTGTTTGTACTAAATTATATTAAATTTGGAATTAACCTTCTCGGCACACCTTGATTACACGCGATTACGGGACAGCGGAGGTAAAAATTTTTCTCCTTATTTTAATGACCTGTTTAGGGCACCAACTTCTGTGGCACCTTGTATGCAAAATATATTGCTCAATGTGTACTATGTGAAATTTGGTTTACTTTGTGAGTAAAGTAACCGAAAGCCTAATCCTACCCCCATCTCCATTCTCCAAATCCCCAAAAAGCAACTTGTAACACTGCGATGTTGCGGGTGTCCATTGGCCAATTCCTTTTTTTATGTGTTTCGATGGCAAAAATGCATGGCAAACATATCTAATTAGCTAGTTAGCTCATTTGCCATTAAAAAACGTACCATTATTGACCAGTCAAATGGCTTTATATTGTTTCATACAACGTAGACTACAATAAACAAAGCCTAGAAACTTGTATCATGTATTCAAATGCAATGATCGCTGGACATAGTATGGAGAGCAGTCAACTGCCAATGTATGTGTGTATTAAGGTGATATTGTCGTTGTAGACAAGTGTCCGCAAACACAGGTGCATCCTGTATTCTCTCTCACATACCGATGTGTGGATGTGTGTATAGTAACAAGTCACGTTCGAAGCAAAACTAAGATTTTAAGTTAGTATTTTATCTTTTATGCTAGGCTCTTAGTTTGTGATAATAGTTTTCTTAAAATATATATTCTACATACATATATGTTGATTTGAGTAAGTCGAACTGTACAGTACGATACAAATAATCTATACAAATCGTACTACATTTATTAAAACTTCATGCACAATGCGTACAAAGGAGGATTAAATGCTTTAAAATATAGGGATATACATAAACATAGGAAGTATAACTTTATTCTAAAAAAATATCGATAATTGCGTTCTGTGGCATGTGATGTGACAAAGTCTGTGGATGGATAGGTTGGGGACCAAAAAATGCATAGAGTGTGTAATAGATTGTGTGCAGAAGGATTTAATACTACACAAAGCTGTTGCAAATGGGGCAGGAGGCACATTTTCGGAGCATATGGACAATATGCTCCGAAAATGTGCCGTTCACGTTTTAAAGTAAACCATGGTCTGGAACCCTGAAGGAAAAAGAAGTCGTGGCCTTCTTCGGCTAACCTAGCGGCGCTCCATGATGGCAGGCGCGGTGAGCATTGGCCAGAAATGACCTGAAGTGAGGTTAAGCTTGAAGGTGAAGATGGGTCGCGATGGTCTTCTGTGGACGCCATTTGGTCCATCTAGGGTATATATATATATATATATTTTAATAGGAAAACGACCAGTTTTATTACAATCACTTAGATTACAAATATAAAATCTAGAAACCAATTGTTTTCATATAAGAATAATAATAAGCTTATCTGTTTAAAAAAAAAACAATGAAAGTGTCACACTACAGCAATATAAAATACAAACTAACTTAAATTAACACAATTATTGAACCACATCAAACCAGTGTTTAGAAAGAGTTCTCGTGAATACCTGTGGCTTAGTGGCAAATAGGTCAAGTTCCGAATAGTCCGTAAGTGTATTGAAGTACTTTACAGCTCTTATAAAGTATGAATTTTGACGATAATTAGTACTGCAATGAGGGGCATTACGATTAAGAGATGGTATCCTGACCGACCTTTTTGGAATGCGTACCCCAATGTTAGAGAGAAGGGTAGGCGAGTCAATATGTGATTGAGCCAATTTAACAAGAAATGAAACATCTGATATCATCCTTCTCTCTTTAAGGGGCAATAGGTGAAATCTATTACATCTAGATTCGTAATTGCAATCATCTTTCCTACACTTGTATTGGAGATATCTGGTAAAGTTTTTCTGTATAGATTCAATTCTTGAGATATAAACATCGTACCGAGGATTCCAAACCTGTGAACAATATTCGAGTGAGCTACGGACAAACGAACAGTATAACATTTTAATAACTTTGACACTAGAGAACTGAGAACAGGTCCTTTTTAAAAAACCCATGGCTTTATAGGCTTTAATTACTATGTAATCGATGTGCCTCTCATACGTAAGTTTGGAATCATGTATTACACCTAAGTCTCGTATATAGTATACCCGTTCCAAATTGTGGCTTTTTAGGGTGTAGTTATGGACTATGACGTTGGTCTTATGTGTAAATGAAATTAGGAAACATTTTCATACGTTGAGGTCTAGGTTATTTAATTTACAATAGTCCTCAAGTCTTGCCAAATCTTGTTGCAATAGATAGCAATCCTCAATATTGCGTATTTGTTTAAACATTTTCAAGTCATCTGCGTAAAGTAAAAATGATAAGTTATGAAAGCAAATATTAATATCATTAATAAAAATATTAAATAACAAAGGACCAAGCAAAGATCCCTGGGGAACTCCTGAAGGAACTAAATGCCATGAAGATACAATGCCATTGATTGCGACAGCTTGCGAACGATTTTGTATATATGAGGTAACCCACCGATACAAATTACTATGAATACCTGCCTGCAAGATCTTTTGTAAAAGTATCCTGTGATCTATGCGATCAAAACATTTACTATAATCAGTAAAGATGCAGTCAATCTGACCGCCATGTTCCATACAAGAGGTAGTAAAATCAACAAATGACAGTAGGTTAGATGTGGTCGATCGGTTTTTTAGAAACTTGTGCTGTTCGGAAATGAATGCAGAGGAAAAAGTGCTATAGACTTGGTTATATATAAGGCGCTCTAATATCTTACCAAACAGACATAATTTTGATATAGGGCGATAATTGGTAAATTCCCCTTTACTACCACTCTTGTGCACTGGAGTTATAAATTCTCGCTTCTATACGTTAGGCACAATTCCTTCACTAACCGAACGCACAAAAATAGTAGTAAGTGGTACCACCATACTGTTAGCACACCTAACTATAAATGTTGGTGGTATGTCGTCAGGACCTGCCCCCTTATCAAGATCTAATGACTTGAGGAGCTTCAGCACAGTTTCGGTATTTATTTCGATGTCGCTTATACTTTGAGCAGGACTGATATGTGATGCATTTCTTAGAGATGTATCTGCGCTAAGGCCCGAAGTAGCAGAAAATTTGACTGAAAGTACATGGCATATACATACATATGTCCTTAAGTCAAAAGAATAATAAAATCTTACAAAAAGAAAATTGTCACAATACTTATCATAAAATACAATGTCAATTATTTGAACATTAAAATTGAGACCGTATTACTTAAACCGGTGCTAACTTATACTCAAACGAAAAAGAGATTGAATAAGTTTACAAGCTAAGCTAACAACTTAGTTGACATCTTAAACTTGAGCGTATTTAAAGTGGCTTAACCTGAGGTAACATTAAAACTGTTTACAACATTTTCCACAAACGTTATTTGACTTAAATTGCTTTTCATCTCTTTCATGTTACATTGTGACATCAAGAGTTGTATGTATTTATTTTATTGGAATACTAGTGACTCGCCCTGGCTTTGCACGGTAGTAATGCCGATACTAAATTTATCCACTTATTAATGGATGTTATTATATTATTATGTATGATAACCATCCTTTTTCAATCTCTCTTCCATTAAAAAACCGTATCAAAATGCGTTGCTTAGTTTTCAAGATTTAAACTTACATAGGGACATAGAAAGCGATTTATTTTATTCAATATAGTGATAAGGGGCTTCGGAAAAGTGAAATGTTGAGTAGACTATATAATATAACTATATTGAATCGATGTCCAACTTTTTTAAGAATTTCTTCTGTATCGTGGATAATGTTTACAAATATACAAATTTTCATACACATCACAGTTACTCCTAAGACAACAATTTGTGAATCACACAAAGTATGGTTTCGAGCGGGAATCGAACCCCGCGATACGTTGTATAATAACTAATCTGTCAAACTACTGCGCTAACCGTGCAGTCAAATTAGTGGACTTATTTCGAGAATATATAGCGTTGTGTTATGTTTAAAGTATAAAAGCTAGTTCTGAGACACAGACACATTATGTGAATCCATCCGTAAGTAATCGTATTCCAAAGATAATTACAAAACAATTTTCTAGAGAAAACAATTACTATAACTATTGTTTTGTCTGAGTAGTTTGAGGGATTATAATAATGGCTTATAATGCAAGCGATTATGTTCGAATGTGATTGATTGTACCAATAAGTTTGATGGATAATCAGCAATTAGACGTAAAGTACGGTTGTCAATTGGACCCATTATCAACAGTAGGTACATTGTCAAATACACGCCTATTCAGTATGTTGACGGTACAGTAATATCTTTGCATATCAAATGTGGAACAGTTGACAGGGAAGCGACTTGCTCTTTGTGTGCCTCAATATCGTATATACATGACGTACATACAATAAACCTACATAATATACATACATATATCAAACATAATATCGCTATTAAATCGAAAAAGGAATATGATTAATTGAATTCATTTGAGAAAAACGCCGAGGAAACCACTCAAAAGTATTCGATGATTGAAAAGCAAAATTTTCCTGCATCATTCCTTCGAGAGAATTCGTCGATACAACATTGTTTGTAAGTTATAAGTATATGATGGATGTTCAAATGTCTTTGCAGTAACGATGGAAAAAATGAGATATTTACGATATTTCTTACTTTGTCGTAATAAATAGGAATCGTTCATCTAGAAAAGAGGCGAAAACATTGCGGTTTGCTTGGTAATCAATATCATTTCCTTGCTTTGGGGAACTTCGAATGAAGTGGTTTTGCATTGTCATGTCAAACTGTTATTCTAGTGTGTTTTCCTTGCCGTGACCAAACACAACTACAAGAGTAACCCTAACTAATGAATGTCGTCACAGCTCAGACGATGTGAGGAAAAGTAAACACGCGGGGTAAGTAATAAATCTAAATTCGTCCATCAGTGAGTGCAGGCAAGCGTTCAGCGCGCTAGTTGGCGCGGAGCGTTAGTAGTTTGTCACTGGGAGGACACGTTCGGACGTGATGCCCAGTTTATTGCTTCCCCGGCACCGACTGATTGGATAACTCAGAGTAACTACCATAAAAGCCAAACTCGTTTTACTTTTCACTTTAAAGATCTCCCTCATTTTTATAACCTACGTGCCGGGTGACATCGGAGAGCGTTTGTAGTCCGTGGTAGCTGTCCACGTAACGCACGAGTGGGCTAGGATATACAATGCGAGAAACATTATTTAATGCCGCAGGACATTATTCGATTTTTTTCTTTGTTTTTCTGGTGTATACTGATCTATAAATAACGGCAATAAAATTTTGGTAATCTATGTGTGACATACAGTCGTATAGCTCATGAATATTAATGGTTTGTACTCAGCTACTTACTTAGCTACTCACTTACTTCTTCTTGTTGATAGACTTTAAATAAATGGAATTGAAAGCAGCAATGTTTCTACAAATATTAAAAGTATTCCTTTCTAGAAATAGTTAGGAGCATCCGACTTAAGAGTGGTGCAATCCTCTTTAGACAGTATTGCTGTATCTCGGCAGATATCTTTATTATAAAATGTTTTTTTCAGATGAACTCTTACGAAGTAAAACATTTTCTACAATGAAATATTTAAGCTCTGAGACTAGTAAAACAGCTCTCTGGAGGAATGTGATAATGTAAATTTTCTTACCGTTTTTTAAACGTCCCAGTTTGCTCGGTGGCTGAGCTTCATGCACAAATAAGGAGTTAGCACGTACAACTCGTCTTATCGTAAGGCACGTAGCTCGCTTGATGCCTACTTTATTGCCGGCTAGGGTCCTTGTGGATGCCGGTGCATCACACCAATGCACTCCACATTCCTTTTTTAATTGGGAGATACCAATAAAACGTGTGAACGATTTTTCTGCGTATCAATGAAATAACATTGCTCTCATGCTCTGAGCCTGGCAAATATATCGCGTTTCAATTCATGCTGATATTAATCAACGAATATGAAAATGTAGATATAGTCGCTAGGTTTATGTAGCTGTGCCGGGTTTGAACATAATTGTCTATCTACTATCTGACGTAACAAATTAATTGGACGCTGATCAAATTTGATCTAGCTCCGTAATTCACATGGGGGTGATTAAACTTTGCTAAACAAACAAATATTTAAGCGCTTACCTTGAAAAGTATTTTAAAATAACTGAGGGAAATGAAGAAGTTTGTTCAAGTAGCTCTCGGAAACAAAGAGAATAAATACTCGGTAATTATTTTCTACATGCTTCCTTTACCACTTACTGTTTATTTTTAGAACAAAACAATTAATTGGCTGTAGCTCTGGTCGTATCTCTTGTCGTATTAATTGGTTTCTCAAATGAGGAATGTTGAAATCAAACAGGTATACACCTAAACAGAATTTTAAATGCAAAAATATTGTTTTAAAATCTGATGTACCAACAGTTCAATAGCACCTCTATTATTAAATTTAAACTTCTCTTCTTGTTGTGTTTACAAACATTACATCGTTTAATTTTATCAAATAAATTATCTTAATATGTGTCGTTTTGTTATAAATAAATACCCAAATGGTTGGGTAAACATTCTCGAAATAAAATATGCAAAATAATATGAATATACACGTGACTTTTAATTTGCAATATTATCATCACCAACTTGTTGGCATCCACTGCTGGGCTATGAATCTCCAAGCAAAAGTAGATATAGATGCAGATATGTAAAAGGATTTCCCGTAGCCAATACCCGTAGGGGGGATGCGACGAATGCTTCAGCGATACCCGCCCCTCCGACACAAGGGTAAGTGGAGGAACACCGGGTTGGTTTTTAGTCAGTATGAGTCTGATAGTACCCTTCGCCCTACCCCGAGGGTGGTGGGTCTCCATGAGGATTTTCCAACCCGACACCAAAAAAAAGGATTTCCCGTAATTATTGTCTGGACAGCAGGTTGAACATCGCTTTCCAAAAGGTTTAGTTATATTCAGAGTCCTGTTCTCTGTCAAGACGACCCTCAGTTGCGGCTTTTACCGACTTGAAGAACAGGGGTGGAATTAAAACTATTATTACTCAGCGGTTTCTCTACTTCTTTGTTACGTTACTTCTAAGCTATATTTTAAGTATTATATCTATCTGAAATCGGTGGAAACCAAAGAATCGGTTCCTCATATATCAATGGCCCAATATCCCTTCCTATCTGAATGCGTGTCACGTGCTCCAGAACAGTTTACCCCAAGACCAGCTGATTGAAGATGAAGAAGGTGGCTTATGTTATTATTCACTCTAAGACCCTTTCGTGTTTCTGTTAATTCAATAGAATAAAATATTTGGTTCGAAAACAAAGTGCGTTAAAATGGAATAAGTGTCTTGTTGTTTGGGACCGATTCCTGGATTGGCTAAGTATTGTTGGTTTTATGATAATTATCGGGGGATGAAGCTAATATAATAACTCTAGTTTCTTTTACCATTATCGACGAAAAGTAAGTGTTATATTTGTGACAGATTGAAAATGACTGGATATATCCACTATTTACCAGATAAACGTGAATATGAAACGTAATTTGTATGAACTTATATAAAAGCTTGTCGGGTACAAAAGAAAGTGAAACATGCCTTTAATGTGTTCATCAGTTGACTCTTTCTGAAGATAAAAAAGGTGTGAAATTATATAATTTCTAAGCAAATATGTGTTGGATATTAATTTATCATGTTTGTGTTTTAATCATAATTTTTATTTTCGGTGTTTTAGGCCGGCAATCCGCTTTAGCCCCGTGTGGTGGATTACGGCCGTATCCTCGCTCAAAGGGAACGTTTAAAGACTGATTATGGTATGTTTATTGTACCCAAACTTAGCTTACTGTCCACGGCTTCGCCTGCATAGAATTTAGAAAGTATAGTGGTAAGTTATAAATATTTGGTTGGTCTTTATAAAAGAACTTACTTCTATAAAGTCTCAGGTACCATCTTGGTGCCTTATTGTATCAAAATTTATTCGTCAGTTTTACGTAAAATGTCGAATTCATCTTTAGTTCATCATATTTTTTGTAATTATAATAATGTCCTTGCTTAATAATACCTAATACTTACCTGATGGTTAGCTATCGGAAAAATCTCGGAAGTAACGACTGCGTTACTGACTTTTTGGGAATTAGGGTTTTGGATCTGAGCGTACGGCGTGTACCGTTCCACGCGCCCGTCAAAGAGGCAATAGACTACCAAAGATGGGGTCCAATAGGGCTAATGTTCAGCCGGGGTTGTGGGTCAAACGCAGTGAGTAAGCACGGCCCTGGCCAGGAATAGAAGAAGGACTGGGGTGGTTTTTAGCCAGTAAAAGTCTGACACTCTCTCTCTCGCCTCACCCACCCTCTAAAAGATCACCTCTCACCCGGTGATATATAGGTATAATATATAGAGTAAGTATATAATAATATGTTTAATGTATTATAATTTCTCTCGTAGCCTCAATTAATTCATGAAACAATATCATTACTTGTATAGCAATTATAATGTACGGGAAACTAAGCGGCGCGTAGTGAATTTATTTTCTTGATGAAACATTAATATCCTCTGCTTGAGTATGGGAAGTTGAAATTTTCAAATGATTTATTTTCTGTGATATATAAATTATTGTTTATGTCATAGTGGGGTAGTTTGTTGCAGATGTGTGTGTGTGTCTCGTTATTTTTGCTATTAATATTTGTACCTCGATAATCGACTTTGTTCGTTATTTTTTTTTAAATCAACTCAATTCTTTTTAATATTTCTTCTTCGAAACAAAATATGTATCTATGAACGTAACATAATGACGTAAGTACGCGTTGATAGGTTTTATATATTCGTTAAATTATGAGTCATAACTAAGTCTCAAATTATATTATTATTTAAATTTACTACTACTAAAGGTTACCCCATACATTTACCTCTCACAAACTGTCTTTAAGATACATTTAATATTGACTTAATTTGTTGTGGAAGAACAATAATGACATAACAAAGAATCACAAAAAAAACATAAATGGACTGAGAATTACGCGTTTACTGAAGTACCTAAAATATCATTACACTGTTTTTAAATGTCGCTAAATTCTGTTAGGTGGATCATATTAAACTACCACAAGTTAACTAAAGACCTACTAAACTTTCTCGCTGATCCAAACTTCTTTGAGAAAACTTTCCCAGACACACCTAAACAAACATGTAAGCAACAGGGTGGATGGATGAAAAAAATTTGATGATATCAATATTCTTATGTAAGCAGTTACTAAGAAATATGTATCATATTAATAATAAACGGTTATTTATCTTACAAAATAAATATTGACACTGAAAACATTATTAAAATTTAAAGTAGTGCAATTTAAAATATTTAAATCTCAAGTTACGAAGACAGAATTTACTTAAAGAGATATTATAAGTAACTCATATCATACATAGATATCAAACAGTGATAAAAACATTCATAAAGTTTATTTTAATGAACACCAAATATTTGCAGTGCCGCATAATATGAAAGATTATTATTTCTAAAAGTTTACTCAAAAGGCAAGAATAAATATTTTTCCTTTATCGGCCTTCCCTTCTTCGTTTTAATTGCGTAAATCCTCTTTAAGGGGATCGTTTTCGATAAAATCTTTCTTTTTTCTTCTGTTGCGATACCGAGATGATGTAATTAAAGATTCTGAATCAGCTTACCTGTCTGTTTGTGGTTGTTTTTGTCATTAGAGAACTCATCAGTTATGTGTTTAGAGTCGCGTGTTCCTCCTATGTTTTGTGAAATAATTGCTGTTTCAATTTCTCGTATAATGTAATCCGCTCCTAACTTTGCTTATATCTCGTACTGATTGCTGTACAGAAAGATATTTTCTTAATAATTGAATAAATGTCGTGTGATAAATTAAAAGCCTTTATTTAGGGTTTGGCCATTCTTGATTATGGTATATTATGCATTATTTTTGCATAGACTTCAAGTCTAAGACTAATTTAGTACTCATTAACACTCTGAGGTTTGGGTGTTGCAGTGAAGACTAAATGGTTGATGTTAGGAGGCAAAATCTACCTAATATACCTACATGTTTAAAATATATAAAGGACACATTTACATAAACGTATAATACAATACATAGATACATGTACTACTACACTGTATTATCAGAATAATGATCCAGCCAACCTCTTAAGGAGAAGCTCTAGTACTTTTTGTTTGAATGTTAAACGACCTGACGCCCTATAACTGTAAGTTATTGTGTTGTCGCTTCACCCTAAATGTTTTATAGGTTTCTACGACTACTCTCAAGTTAGTTAGATCATGTTTGTATAAATACCTAGTTAAAGGAAAGTCTTGTTAGTTGCACTATTAAGTGTGGGAGAGTCATGCTTCGGCACGAATGGGTCGGCTCGACAGAAGTGATACCACGGCCTCACAGAAAACCGACGTAAAATAACCACAGCGTTGTGTTTCGCCGTGTGAGTGAGGTTACCGGAGGCCCAATCCTTCCCCTTCCCCCATCCCTCCTTAATCCCTAAATCTCCAAATCCCTAATCCCGAAGGTCGGCAACGCACTCGTTACTCCTCCGTTGCGAGTGTCCATGGGCGGCGCTGATTCCTGATGCACCATCAGGTAATCCGTCTGCTCGTTTGCCGACCTATTACATAAAAAAAAACTATTTATAACTAAAAACGACTGAACCGATTTGGCTGAAAATTGGTAGAGAGGTAGCTAAGAATTGGGAGAAGGACATTGGATAGGGTAAGGCAGGTAGGGTAGGGTAGGTAGTGTAGGGTAGGGAAGGATATAGTATGATATGGTAGGGTCGGATAGGATAGGGAAGGGGATGCCTAACGAGAGTGAAGCCGCGGGTAAAAGCTAGTATCTGATATGTCATAATGTCCCCAAAGTTCAAAAACATATTAAATCGAAGTCTGGTTAGCAATAATCTACTTCGAAGTTACCCATTTGGTTTTCACCCAACAGCAGACTGACTTGCGCTTTATTACACAATAACAACGACACTGCATGAGTTAGTGGCCAGAGAAGTAAAGGTTACATACATATATAACCCAAATAAAAGAACAAAGTGATTGTATCAATGTAAGGTTGGAACGTCAAGTTTATTTATTTATAGTCTGCAAGATAAGGTTTCACTTTTGGCTAGACAGTATAAAGGGTCTACCATAAAAGTCGCCGTTTGGAATTCGTTTTTTGTAGAGCTGTGTTGGCGATAGCGTGGTAAGATTAGCCAGCTGTCTCCTATAAATCAGACCGGTGCATAATATTTGAAAATGTTTCATGTCTGCAAGAATGGCTAGACTGGGTTTTACTGGCGTCGATGAGTTGTGAACTTGTTAGCGACACGATATCTGTTTTGGACTGATTTCGGTGTTTTGGTGAGTCTAATGTTGTTTTATATATGGAAAACGATTACTGGTGAATTGATACATATCCACCACACGAGGCATTAGAATCGCGTAGCTGACCATTTCGGACACTATTTAATTAAAATTGTGTCACTATTTTGACAATTTCTCAAAATCGTAATTGTACAGCTTTCTAAGGACACATGTTTGAATTTAATATATATAAAACCATACCACCACCTTAGTTAAATGTGAATTAAAGACTTGCACAAATATTGCAACGCACTTTGTAAACAATACAATTTTTTCATAGCGGTTCGAAGTTTGGCATCATACTATAGCCGGTTCACAAAAACTTAAGGTATTAGAAAAGTACACAGCAAGTCAGTGTTTACGATCAGTCTAAAATAACTCAAACACTGAAGAAAAATTATTGGGATACGTAAAATTACATTTAGTTTTTAAAATATAAAAATAATTTTCTGTAAAAATTTGATAAAGAACTGTCGACTTGTGAGACCATTAATTCAATTAAGCCACTTTTAATTGTTAAAATGCGGACAAAGTCCGCGGCAGAAGCTAGATCTTGTATAAGATAATCTTATGTAAGTAAGTACTTACCGTGTTTAGGCTCAGGAGGTAAACTTTTGTTGACTGTACAAAATCTAAAAATAGATTTCCTTATCACAGTGACGTTATAGAATATTAAGGTAAAAATATTCATGTAAAATGTTCTAGCTGGTTTTTACAATACGAACAAGGTTTATCTACAATGGAGTAGTATGCTGTATTCTATTTGAAACGTAGGTAAATTTGTACTACAGTACAGTCAAATGAGAGAGGAAAACCAATATAAAAAGAACCATGAATTAGTACAATTTCAATAAGACTCGTATAAGTAGGTCATTTTTATTAACATTTAATTAAAACCAACCTGTTTTTATTTCCAGAAAATGAGCTCCAAAACCGAGCTTACACCCACTTAACATCCAAAACAAAGAGTCGATCCTAATACATTTATAAGCACACAATTAAATAAAGAAGTTACAAAGTAAAATTTGTATTTTAACAGGCGACTATTAAAATGGAATGGTAGAATAGTATTCATAAAGATTAAGCCTTAAGGCGCCTACGTTCCCTCTAGATACGGCACATATTTATGTTAGTTAAACGCAGAGCCTCATTTAGTTCGTCTACTGCACGCGAACTAGCCGTATAGGTAAATAAGTTTTAATTACTTGTTTATTGTTGTTTCTTCTTCACGATTTCTATGGCTGTATAAGAAAGTTTGGTTTCCTATGGCGTTGTTTATTACATGGTTCCTTCGTAAATAGGTTTCATCGGTGAAGTTCTGATAGGCAACAACTCATAATTGAATTGAAACCAAAGTTCTCGTCTTCATTGTTGGCTAGCCTTTCATGGTTTGAGTAACACCTTTATGAACGAACTATTTATAGACATGTGACTGTTTTCATTTTATGATTCTTTTTGTACCTCCTCAGACTTTATAATTTTAATACATAAACAATTATTCGTCTTTCTTTTTTATGTCAAAGGACGGCATACAGATTACCTGATGGTAAGCAATCAGCGCCACCCATGGACACCCGCAACAACGGAAGAATTACGAGTGCGTTGCCGACCAATTTAGGGATTGGGGGAGGGGGAGGATTGAATGTCCCCGGTAACCTCACTCATACGGCGAAACACTACGCTGTGGTTGCTTATGGGAGGTTCCAGGTGTTGCTTTTAAAGGTTTGAATATAGTTTCGGTCAGTTCAAGTAGTATGATTATGTACGTAGATTTGCTGCATTATCAATAAAAACAATTGATTGTTGGTTTAACTACACTTAAAAGGTTATAGTACCGAGTGAAAATTATAATTTATTCATATATGTTCACAACAAATTAAACATTTTGTTAAAAGTATAACCCCAAATCAGTTTTACTCGGTTCCGTATCGTATGTTGCTGAAAATAAAACTATAGTCTTTTGTATGTAAACGCGGCTGGTTGCTCAGCGACTAAAACACAAAAATAGAGATACAATGGTAAAACTTTTTCTACGTGAAAACACAACAATATAAGGTGAATAAAAAAGGTCATAGTCTCAAATATAAGCTAATAAAACGTATGTGCTTTCTACTCGCAATGGCATCCCGTTGTCATGGTAAATTCTATGGAGACTCACAACCTTCCATTTTTTAATATCTTGTCCCATCCGAACAAACAAAAGGTTTGAATTCTTTTCCGCTGGCTTTAATTTATTTCCAATAAAGATTGCGCGGGTACTTAGTAAGGTGGAATCGGACATTTTCTACGGAGAATTCATAAAGGCTGATCAGCGGAAAAGTCGTGAAAAAGCGATTTCATCTAATTGGAAATTGAGTTTATTAGCTAAATAGGTAGGTACTAACGACTTATTTGCTGACTTCTCATAATATCTGCTGTAAGGAGGCAATAAACCGTTTTATCTTATTACACGTTGAACCGTGTTATGAAACAGACGTCATGCGAGTTTATTAAAACTTGTATTTTTCCACGCCGGTGCCTGGCCGTAGGAAGTACTCGTTGATCTTTTGTAACGTACGTAATTTAATAAGACTCGTATTAGCACTAAGTGAACTTCTATTAACTTTTATTAGTTATCTCGAGTTTTGTTCTTTATTATGTTTGGTTTCCATATTGCTAAAATTGTTTCGATAATAAAAAAGGTAAGGTTTTTTTATGTTTTTAACCTATATGTAAAAAAATAAAGTTACTTTGTACCCTGACAGTTCTATGGGTAGGCTCAACTACCATAAAGTAAGCAAAGAAATAAACTGGCATAAAACAATTTTCGGTTCAATTAAAATTTTTTATTTTTATTTTGGCATTTGGATGAAAAATAGTTTTCTTTAAACAGTTCAGCATGATCTGTAGTAAGGAAATCGAAAGAAAATAAACATTTTAAATGTCAATATTAATGATTAATATTAAATATATCTTACGTACGTATGTACTTAATAAACCAGTTTAAAAGCTATTATTAGTAAGTGAGGCTTATGAGATGACCTTACAACACCTCAGTATGACTTACTGACCTAATTGATAAGTCAAGTAAGTCGAAATTAATTACAACGATACGTGATTGTTACTTTTACATCTATATTTATAGGATTATGGTAGACATTCGATTTTTAAATGGCATACAGTATGGTCAAGGACTGCTTCTTTGGTCACGTGGTTACAACGTAATGTAGAAGCAAGTTCACGTAAACGAAACGCAATATGGCACCGTGACCTCGGCCTTGAGTAGAAGAAGGTTCGGGGGGGGTTTTTAGTTAGTGAGAGTCTGACACTCCCTCTCGCGTCACCCTGTCCGAGAAAAATCATTCGAAAAATAAATTTCCCCTTTCAAAAACCTTCTTTATATAGAATACATAACTTAGATATCTAGCGAACCAGACCCGAGCGAACGGCGCGGCGGTTCCGCGCGCGCCTCGAAGAGAGAATAGACCACCACAGACGGGGCCCTATAGGGCTGATGTTCAGCCGGGGTTGCGGGGTAAGCGCAATGAGGCACCGCGACCTCGGCCTAGAGCAGGAGTAGGAACAGGGGGGTTTTTAGTCACTAAGAGTCTGACACTCCCTCCCGCCTGACCCTAGACGGGAGAAGTAATTTGATGATTTTCCCCTCACAAAAAAAAAGATATCTAGCGAAAGCCAATAGACCACCACAGATGGGGCCCAATAGGGCTGATGTTCAGCTGGGGTTGCGGGGTAAGCGCAATGAGGCACCGCGATCTCGGCCCAGAGCAGGAGAAGGAACGGGGGTGTTTTTAGTCAGTAAGAGTCTGACACTCCCTCCCGCCCGGTCCGGGGCGGGAGAGGTCATTGGATGATTTTCCCCTGACAAAAAAAAAGAAGGTATCAAGCGAAAGGTGCGTGGTATATTTCAGTGTTGTTGTAGGTCAAATAATAAAAGGGGTAAATATACAAATTCAGTTTTGTTATGTTCGTTGTGAGTTGCCATATTTTTGGTGGTGGTTAGGAATTAGGGAATTGAGTATCAGGAATGGAGAAAGAAAAGACTGGGTCTCCGGCAACCTCACTCAAGCGAGGATATGCATGTAATGCTTTGTACCACGCCAGTTTTCTGTGAGGCCCTGGTATCACTCCATTCCAGACAACGCATTATTTCCAAAGCATACTTAGATAGATAGGTAGATAACACATTTATTCAGCACAAACAATAACAGACACAAATTAATTGACAAATAAGTGGGTACACAATACAAATTAACAAGAAAATAATGCAAAATAAAATCAAACTAGGGAATATTTATAAAAATTAAGTATTAGACGGGTAGTACAAAAGAAATAACATAAAGAACGAAAAAAAAGGAAAAAGATAATAATAAAATACGGCGCGGCTCAGTGTGTCTTTAGTTTGCACCGAATGGGAGTCCAGCTCAGCATGTGTCAGGTATATACGCACGGACGTCGAGTAGACCGAACAATGAACAACATTTTTTTTTTTTTTGTGAGGGGAAATCATCAAATGACTTCTCCCGCCCAGGGCCGGGCAGGAGGGAGTGTCAGACTCTTACTGACTAAAAACCCCCCTGTTCCTTCTCCTGCTCTGTGCCGAGGTCGCGGTACCTCATTGCGCTTACCCCGCAACCCCGGCTGAACATCAGCCCTTTAGGGCCCCGTCTGTGGTGGTCGAATGGCTCTTTGAGGCGCGCGCGGAACGCTACGCGCCGTACGCTCGGGAACAATGAACATTAAAGGCGTAATTAGTGCTCAGTGTTTTGTGTTTTTGAGATTAGTGTTTTAAGGTTCTCCCATACTTAAAACAGGGTTTTTTATACTCACGTTAAAATTAGTAATTCTATCCTAATCTAGAAAGTTTGTAGTGGCCATAAATTAGAGCGTCGCATGCGATTATAATCCCGGTTCGGGAGGCAGGCTACTTATGCAAACTGGTACTTATGCAAAATGTAAGAATCTTCATGGCTTGTGATTACAAAATGGTGTAAGCCGACCTTTTTAACCAGGTTTTAGTCAGGTCTAAAATAACCATAATAAAGATATTTGGTAAGAAAATAATGATTGGCTCGAAGAACCGAAAAAACTCGGTATTAATTGTTTCACAATTTTACAAACGCCTCTTGATCTGTAATGAAGTTGAAATATACACGTATTTGAGTAGGTGACAGAGATATAATTATATAATGTAAAAGTTTATGGAAATGTATGGATGTATGTTTGTTATTCTTTCGCGTAAAAACGGTTGAACCGATTTGTTTGAAATTTGGTATAATTTGGTAAATTTAATAGGTAAGTGATACCATGGATTGACACAAAGGCTTTTTATCAACATAATATAAGGCGGAAGCTAGTATATAATACTTTTAATGACCACAATAAACATAATTATCATCGAATTTTATAAAAAAAAAACATAATAAATTAAAGTATTTCGTACCTAATTAATACTTTGAGAATTTGAACAGCAACAGTTGTCGGTACTTTATGGCGCTTAGAGCTGTTTGTGTTAACTCTTAACCGATTACGACGAGATTATTTTTAGTACAAACATTTTTGTTTTGCTTTCAAAAATGTTGTTCGTTTTTCTTTTCGTTATTTTTTTTATTTATTGCCTTTTAATTTGGGTTGT